TACCTTAGATTATTAATAGTGGATGAATATATTCTTTGGCCTTTGTTCGCTTTTTCATTTGTGTAAGCACAAACAGTGAAACCAGACAAGTATTCTGTTCGCTATTGCTTATGACAGGTTTCTAGGCAATTGCACTCTCCGGTTCTCATGGTTTAATGCTACAATCGGTGAGTCCTATTGGGCACGTTTCTGGGGGCAGGACCATTGTTTTGTTCTTTGTACAGCACCTAGCACAATGGGAGTGGGGACTGGCTCATGACGGGGCTCTTAGATGCTGCAGCAATGCAAACAATAACTTGTAAGTAAGCACTTTTTCCTGCTGGCTGTCATCTTTTGCTCCAGAGTCTAAGCTTTCTCTTAAAGTAAAAAAGGATGGTCCTGATCCGAAGCCCCCAAATGTCAGTAGATGGCCTTCCCAGGATGAATTTTTTAATTTTACCCATATAACTCTAGGTTCCTCAGCTCCTTGGAGGAACCTGATTATGTTCTGAATCTTGTGGGAAAACACATCTTTTTGAAGGAACTCTCTTCCTGGGTTTACATTTCATTGTATGCCCCATTCATGAGCTCATTTTAGAATGTGTTTTTTCCCCCAGCTTCTGTTGTGGTACTGACCATTTAATGGTGCCAACATTCTGCTAGGACAGCAACGTTTGCTGATGAGACAGATTCGGTAGCTGGGATAAACTGTGCATCTAAACTTCCATTTTTTTGCAGATTAAAAACAATCCAGTCCTGCCCCAAACTGCTCTGAGCAAAATGTTTCTGTGCCCTACAAACACCAACAGTCAAAAGGTAGCATGGCGGAGATAACAGGAAAGGACACAACCACACCACTAAACATGGATTTGTAGCTGGTCTTCAATAGCTCATGGTTCAAGGAGGGGGAACGCTGTTCAGCCCATTGTATGTTTCTCCATTACATAACTTGACAGCATCATATGTTCTCATGTGGCTATACAGTTCGATCCATGATGAGCAAGATTGCAAACTGTTGTCACATAGGAATGTGCAGGCTTCAGCACAAGACGTGGCATCACATGTGGCCCTTTTTTTCAATCAGTTTTTTGCATCTGTCTTCCTCAAAGTGTTTACAGCCTTTATTGATAATTGCCATGCGTATCTGTCCTTGGTTCCGTCTTTGAAGTTATCAATATTTATGCTGCATAAGGGCAAATTATGTTATGGGCGTCTTTGAAGTGTTTTTGTTGACCACTCTTCCTGCACGTTCCAAGTTTCAGTTCACCATAGAGAACTTTTTTCACTTATTCTGATAATGTCCTGTCCCTCTAAATTGAGCTTTGATGATCATTGCCGGTGGTTTTTGATCTTTCAGCAATGTTAATAATGGATACTTTGTCTTGCCAGTGGACCTTCAGAACAGAGCATATGGCATTTTTCAAGTTGTTTAATGTGTCTGTGGTAAACTATCCATGAATCATGCCCATGTAAAAGGCCCTTTGCTGTATTGTACATCATCAGTCTTATTGACTGTTTGATGGTGTGCTGGTTGAGTATCCTATGGTGAAATCTTCTGAAGGCCTGGCTTGCCTTTCATAGTGTGTCTGACATTTCTTGATATAGGGAACCATCACCAGAGATGGTACTGTCAAAGTGTATAGCTATACATTATACAGCTAGGGGTTAGGCACAAAACTAAGTTCCAGACCCAAATGTTCCCCACATCAAAGCCAGTTCATACATGCTGCCACATGTGCCTTTGCAGAGGACTTCCAGGAAAAGGAGGCCGCGCTCCACCAGGGACAGGGTAAAATACTACTGAAGGGTTTTCCCTTTGCGTTCCAGTGACGTGTTATGTAGAGTATCAGCAGATTTTAGATGACTGAACTGTGATAACAACTTTAGCCCTATGTGGAGCTGGAACATTTCCCTCACTGTGTAGCCCTGGCCAGAACACATCATGGTTCCCCCTTCCTCCTGTGTAAAGGGAATGTCCATTCTCTATTCCCCCATCTCCACTCTCACACATTCATAATGGGAGACATTACACCAGATTCTGATTGCATTTATACCTGTGGAAATATGATGTGACTTCACTGAAGTAATCATGTCTTTCCCCTGTTTGCCCCTGCGGGAATAAACACTCCCCTTCCTTCCCTAGCTGGCATGGCATAGGCAGTATTACTAATCTCAAGCATTCAAACAGGTCCCCGGAATTGAGAGAGGCTGAAAAACCATGAGACTTTTAAAAAGGTATGGTGTTTGGGGTTTGGTTTGTTTTCTTTCTGGTTCTGAGCCTTTAGGGTCACTGTTTCAAGCTTTTCTGTGCAGCCATGAGAGCTAGAAACTTGTATTAAAAAAAAAAGCAAGCTGAGATTCTCATGTGATCACATGATTCCAGAAGCTGGGGCTCTTAAAAAAATCCCCCAAATATAGTGAGAGTGATGATAAAAGTGCCAGAGTTGGCAACACAGACACTGACAAGATTTTGAAAGTCACCTGGATCAATATTTAGATTTTCATGAGGTAGCAAGTTTGGAAAGCTTTGAAGGTGGCTATTTGCATTTAAACCCTAACTGCAAGTGAAAAGAAAAGCACGCTTAAAATAACAACCACCTCCTTTCTATGCCTCCCAGTGTGCAAAAGGGAGGCTTTAAGACTTTGTTTGCCAATTTCCGTTCACAGTGCTGGCGGGGGGTCGGGGGTGGGAGAGGCAGGTTTATAGCTTCCCCCCCCCTTTTTTTTTTAAATATGAGAAAGGGAAGTTCACTGTAAGTTGAAAAGCAAACAACCAAGCAAAGAATTTCCATGTACAAAGCAGATGGATGCGCATGGCCTTTCTTGAGGGAACTGGGCAGGTCTCCTTAACCACAGCTTGTTTTGTACTGCACATCACTCCGCACTAGCAATTGTTACTGTGCACCTGTCTGTAATTTCAGAGGTTCACCCACCTCAAGCAAACTATATTTAAAAACTCGACGCTGATAAAAAAAAAAAAGTTCAGAGGAAGGGATTTCCTAGTTCACAAATAAAAATGTGCAGTTGAGCGCTCACTAAGTAAACAGAAAACATGGGCAGCTGAGAGAAATCAATTTAGCTGAACAAACAATGTTCCATGTAATGAACTACTAATTATCCTTTTATGCCATGTCAGTCTGAGTGATTACAGAGCTGTGCAGTTTAATTTGACGTTTGAGCATTGCCTTGCTCCATTAGCCTCATATAAAGCTACGACACGTCGAGAGGGGGGAAAAAGTGGTGTATGGGGCGGGGGAAGCTGTCTTTATCTAGAACTAAGTAAGCACCTGTAGCAATACTAAGGAAAATATCTTTTGACAAATATCCTGATGGTGATAAAGGGCCCAGCATCTGGGGACTGTAGCAAGCATGAGGAGGCATCTGCTGCCCTTTCAGAAAACTTAGCTCTGTGCGTTGATGGTGTCCCAAATATTTGAGGCTTGCATTAAACT